CAGGGGAGGGAGCGGAGCCTGGCATGTGCTTGCAGGCTGGGGCCGCAGCCTGGGGCGGTGCAGGCCAGGGTGGGAACCTCCTGCCGATTGAACATGCCCCGAGTGGCTCGGCAGCAGTTCTGCAGAAAAGGACCTAGGGGTGACAGTGGACGAGAAGCTGGATATGAGTCATAGAATCATAGAATATCAGGGTTGGAAGGGACCCCAGAAGGTCATCTAGTCCAACCCCCTGCTCAAAGCAGGACCAATTCCCAGTTAAATCATCCCAGCCACTCTGACTGGGTCAGCAGTGTGCCCTTGTTGCCGAGAAAGCTAACAGCATTTTGGGATGTATAAGTAGGGGCATAGCGAGCAGATCGAGGGACGTGATCGTCCCCCTCTATTCGACATTGGTGAGGCCTCATCTGGAGTACTGTGTCCAGTTTTGGGCCCCACACTACAAGAAGGATGTGGAAAAATTGGAAAATGTCCAGCGGAGGGCAAAAAAAATGATTAGGGGACTGGAACACATGACTTATGAGGAGAGGCTGAGGGAACTGGGGATGTTTAGTCTGCAGAAGAGAAGAATGAGGGGGGATTTGATAGCAGCCTTCAGCTACCTGAAAGGGGGTTCCAAAGAGGATGGATCTCAACCGTTCTCAGTGGTAGCAGATGACAGAACAGGGACCAATGGTCTCAAGTTGCAGTGGGGGAGGTTTAGGTTGGATATTAGGAAAAACTTTTTCACTAGGAGGGTGGTGAAGCACTGGAATGGGTTCCCTGGGGAGGTGGTGGAATCTCCTTCCTTAAATATTTTTAAGGCCCAGCTTGACAAAGCCCTGGCTGGGATGATTTAATTGGGGTTGGTCCTGCTTTGAGCAGGGGGTTGGACTAGATGACCTCCTGAGGTCCCTTCCAACCCTGATATTCTATGATCATGTGATCCAGCCCCTGTTGTCCAGTCCCAGGTTCTGGCAGTCAGAGGTTAGGGGACACCCGAAGCATGGGGTTGTATTCTGAACATCTTGCCTAATAGCCTTTGGTGGACCTGTCCTCCATGAACTTATCTCATTTTTTTTTTTTAACTCTTATACTTTTGGCCTTCACAACATCCCCTAGCAATGAGTTCCACAGGTTAACTGTGCTCTGTTCATTCCCTCTGGGGCAGCTGGCATTGGCCACTGTCAGAAGACAGGATATTGGGCTGGGACCTTTGGTCTGAGCCAGTTTGGCTGTTCTTATGTTGTGTGAAGAAATACTTCATGTTTCTTTTAAATGTGCTGCCTACTAATTTAATAGGGTGACCCCCGGTTTGTGTGTTAAGTGAAGAGGTAAATGACATGTCCTTATTCACTTGCTTCACACCAGTCATGATTTTATAGACCTCCATCCTATCCCCCCTTCGTCGTTTCTTTTCCACGCTGAACAGTCCCAGTCTTATTAATCTGTCCTCAGCTGGGAAGTTGTTCCATCCCTCTAAATATTTTTGTTGCCTTTCTCTGTACTTTTTCCAATTCCAGTATATCTTTTTTGAGCAGGGCGACCAGATCTTCAAGCAGTATTCAAGGTGGGGGCGTACCATGGATTTATATAGTGGTATTGTGTTGTTTACCGTCGTCTTATATATCCGTTTCCTAACATCCTGTTGGCTTTTTTGACTGCCGCTGCACATTGAGTGGATGTTTTCAGAGAACTATCCACAGTGACTCCAGATCTCTTTCTTGTGTGGTAACAGCTAATTCAGACCCCATCATTTTATATGGATAGTTGGGATTGTTTTCCAATGTGCATTACTTTGCATTTACCAACACTGAATTTCATCTGCCATTTTATTGCCCAGTCATCCAGTTTCGTGAGGTCCCTTTGTAACTCTTCGCAGTCAGCTCTGGACTTAACTATCTGGAGTAATTTTGTGTCTTCTGCAAATTTTTCCACCTCATTGTTCACCCCTTTTTCAGGATCATTTATGAATATGTTGAACAGCACATGTCACAGTACAGAGCCCTGGGAGACCCTGCTATTTACCTCTCTGCGTTGTGAAAACTGACCATATATTCCTAGCCTCTGTTTCCTGTTTGTTAACCAATTACTGATCCATGAGAGGACCTTCCCTCTTATCCCATGACAGCTTACTTTGCTCAAGAGCCTTTGGTGAGGGATCTTGTCAAAGGCTTTCTGAAAGTCCAAGTACACTATATCCACTGGATCCCCCTTGTCCACATGCTTGTTGACACCCTCAAAGGATTCTAATAAATTGGTGAGGCAGGATTTCCCTTTACAAAAGCCGTATTGAATCTTCTCCAGCATATTACGTTCATCTGTGTCTGATAATTCTGTTTTTTACTATAGTTTCAGCCAGTTTGCCTGGTATTGAAGTTAGGCTTACTGGCCTGTAATTGCCAGGATCGCCTCTGGAGCCTTTTTTAAAAACAGCATCACATTAACTATCCTCCAGTCATCTGGTACATAGGTCGATTTAAGCGATACCATGGTTATTTTTTCTGCAGTTTCATATTTGAGTTCCTTCAGAACCTTTGGGTGAACGCTGTCTGGTCCTAGTGACTTAATACTTTTTAATTTGTTCCAAACCCTTCTCTATTGAGCCTTCAATCTGGGACAGTTCCTCTGATTTGTCACCTGAAAAGAATGGCTAAAGTATGGGAATCATCACCACGTTTTCCGCAGTGAAGACCAATGCAAAGAATTCATTTAGCTTCTCCACAATGGACTTGTCTCCCTTGCATGCCACTTTAGGCACTTCGCACATCCCATCGCCCCACTGACTTCCTCATTTTTGTGTGGTTCCCCTTTTTGAAATGAAATGCTACTGTGGTGGGCTTCTTGGGAATTTTTCCCTCACAAGGATATTGAATTTAATTAAATTTTGGTCTCTGTAACTTCTTCATCCTCGTGATATGACTGGAGTACCTCATCCTGCTTCTTTCCAAATGCAGAACTTGAACATTCCTGGCTTTCCTGCAGCATTATTCAAATTTTCCCCGTCTAATAATGGGCCTGTACCATTGGTAGGATTTTTATTCCTGACAGAATTAAAACCAAAAAACCCTCCTTCCTATTGTCCTTACCTAAGTTCCCTTGAAGCTGTTTGGCCGCGCAGGAGCCTATTAAGCGCCGCACAGGTGCTCAGGGCTGCGGTGGGGGGAGATGCCTCTCCCACCCAGACCAGGTGCTGCTGTGGGGAGAGAGAGCTTGGGGGTAGTCCTCTCTCTCTCTCCCTGTTGTAGCCCCAGGGCAGCCTGCACCCCAAACCCTTCATCCCCAGCCTGACTCTAGAGACTGCACCCCCAGCCCTGAGCCCCCTTCCACACTCCGAACCCCTCAGCCCCACACATCACCTCTATATTGGTGCACATAACAAAATTCATTCCGCATGTGTGGGGAAAAACTAGAGGGAACACTGGTGCTTGCTCTGCCAGCCATGGATTTTTCCATGATGTCTTTAGCTTCCCTTATCAGTTTTGTACATGTCATAATTTCTAATCTATGTTGATTGCTATTTTGTTCGCCTTTTTCCCAGTTATATATTTATTTAAATAGCACTGTCCTTGTGTGTGGTCCTGCTGCTTTGTGGTTTGGCTACCTAGCTGTCCACCGGCAGCGAAGGCTCAGTGCCGTCCAAGCCAGCAGTGTTCTGGGGATTGTAGGGGACAGCTCTGCACAGCGTGGGCCCTAGCATTCTAAACCTGGAATGGGAGAGCAAACAAGCAAAGGTCGTAATCACCTCTTGAGTCAGCAGCTGCTGCTAAGGGATGAGTCCTTTTCTGTTCTCTCACAAGCCTGTCTTCAGGCGGCCCTGCCCCCCTCTCCCAGGGGCAGTCAGGGAGTTGGCAAGCTCCTGACACACCCTGGAAAGGCCTGTGTGGCAGTGGCCTGACCATTCTCCCTCCTCAGGCATCTGACTTCTCTGGCTAGTGAACACAGAGAGAGAGAGAGAGAGAGTCCCTGGCCAGCGAGAGGGAGGGAGCCGGGAGCCCCATGCTGGGGACCGGATGGTGTCAGGCAAAGCTGCGGCTTCCTGGGGGTGGAGTTTCCAGTGCCAGGGGCCAAGGGAAGGTGGGTGCATGTGATGCTGTCTCCAAGTACCTCTGTGGGGGAGAGTCTCGGAGCAGGCAGATCCTCGCTCTCCCAGGCCATGGTCCAAAGGTGCCAGTGTTCCGGGGGGGGCCTTCGCCGTGGAGACAGGGCGGATCTCCCGCCCTCGGAGGCTTCATGGCCAGCTGGGCTGTGTCTGCCGACAGCTCCGCTGCGGCTCCACACGCGGCGTGGGTGGGTGCATGGCTCGCCGGGGGTGGGGGGTCTCTGCCCAGCGCGGTGCAGGGGTCACGTGGGGTGATGGGTTGGTCCCTTCTGGCCTTGGGTGTTCTGAAGTCCCCCAGGTGACTCCCAACCTGTCAGGATTGCCCTGAGGAGTCCAGCTCCTAGTCCCCCTCTGCTGGGTCTGCCCCCACCCCCAGGGTCCACACTCACCCCTCCCTGGGCTTTGCCTCCACACCTGCTCCCCTCCCCCAGAGACACCTGGCCCGGGCTGCAGCCCTCACTGTGCTGCCCCCCAGCCGAGCCCCATCTCCTGGAGGGTGCTGCTGCCTGCTGAGGGTCTCCCGCAGCCCCGAACTCTGTAACGACGACTAGGGCTGAGCAGGAGCTGGTGGCCAGCTGCTGTACCACAGCAAAACCCACGTGGGCTCTGTGGGGCTGGCAGAGGGCCTGGGCCTGTGGGGGGCGTCCCAACTTCAAACAAGACTCCCTGCGGCCCTGCCTGGGAGGCCCGAGCTGTGCCTGTGGGCTGGGAGCGGGTGCAGAGCAGGGCCCTCCCGCAGCGCCCGGGCCAGGTCACGGGCCAGGTCTGCCTCTCCTCCAAACACCTCCCCTGCTCAGCGGGCGCTGGGGTCTCTCCTCCCCTCCCCGGCCTTGGCGGGTTCCCCTGCCCCGTTCAGGGCTCCCCAGCTCTGCTCCTGGCGGCGCCCCAGACGGGTGATTCTGGGGTTACTGTCCCCCTGCAGGCCTACAACGTCCACGTGAACGGCGTGCTGCACTGCCGAGTGCGCTACCGGCAGCTGCTGGGCCTGCATGAACAGGTGAGTCGCGCCCGGAGGGCAGCTCTGTCCCCTGCTCCCCGCCAGCCAAGAGCAGCCCAGAGCTCCCCGGCAGCCGCTCCCCTCCTCAGCACCAGTCGTTCCTGCCGGGCAGGTGCCCGGTGCCCTGCTGAGATCTCCAGCTCCGCTTCCCTTGCATGTGGGGAAGAGTCTGGCCCATGTGGAGGCCAGGCCCTAAGGGGCGTGGGGGGGAAGCTGAGCTGAGCTGCTGAGAATCCGCCATTCCTGGCTCCGCGCAGGGCAGGAGCTGTCTGGGGTGGCTCCTGGGCAGCCCTGACAGTCCCCTGCCAGCCCCTGGGCCCACCAAGTGCTCCCTGCTGCGGGTGGAAAGGGCTGTGGCAGTCCGCAGGGCCGCTCTGGGCTGCCCGAGCTGTGAGCACTACTGCTGTGTGAGGCACTCGCTGCCTGGGCTTCGCAGCGCGGGGCCCTCCGTCCCTCCATCTCCAGGGTGGGCACAGGGTTCCCTCGGGGCGCCTTGGTGAGACGTCCCTCAGGGCCCCGGGAGGTGAGCGGGATGGGCTCTCCCTCATGTTTGGGGCCGTGGAGTTAGATGCCACCCCGTCCCCAGCTCCGGTTCAGAGGATGCTCCCCATGCCCCAGGACAGGGTGGGGAAGACTCAGGCCAGGGGGCGATGGTGGGGCCTATGGGTCTGTCCAGGCGTGCCCCTGGGGCGTCTCAGTGTTCTGTGCTCTCCTTCCAGCTAAGGAAAGAGTATGGGGCCAATGTGGTGCCCGCCTTTCCTCCAAAGAAGATCTTCACCCTCACCCCGGCGGAGGTGGAGCAGAGACGAGAGCAGCTGGAGAAATACATGCAGGCCGGTAAGTGGGCAGGCAGACAGTGCTAGCTTGAGCCCTGCTTGGCTTGGGGCATCTCTCCAAGCGTGGAACCAGGCCTGGGCCATTAGCTGACCACTCACAGCGGCTGACTCTGGGCAGCCCGGCCTGGGCTCTCCACGGCTTCATGCCCCAGTAGCAGCCCCTCCTAGACCTCAGGCTGGCAGAGGTGGGCATGTCTGTGTGTGTCATCCACACACAGACATGTGGGTCCATATGCCCCAGCCTGGGAACAGTCTCTGGGAGGAGCCCTTCAGTGACCCAGACCCCCCGAGGTCTCACTCTTCCCCCAGGGTGAGCCACGCGGCCTTGCCGCCTCCTGAGACTGGGCCCCTGGGGCTGCAGATCCCTGCCCCACCCCGGGAGTTCTGGGCAGCGAGTCTGGGACAGACCCTGGGGTAGACGTGCTCCATCTGGGGGAGCAGCACCCCCGCCCCCCGCCAGCGTCTGCAGGGACACCCAGCCAGCGCGGGCAGACAGGCGGGTGTATCCGTGGCCTGGCACACGGCACAGGCAGCCCTGGGGTCGCCCAGAGAAGTGAAGGTTCCAGCAGAGTCTGTTCTGGGCAGCCGGCGCCCAGTCCAGCTGCAGCAACCCCCACGGTTCAAGCTCTGTCCCCCCATCTGTCTGATCTCCTTTGTCAGACTCTGCAGTGCCCCTAAGTGCTCCCCAAAGTCCATACTTAGCTTCCCCCCCCCACCCCTTTGGGCTTTTGTTCCCAAGCTGGGGGATGCGGCTCAGCCCCCTGCGGAGGGGTGGGACCATCCATGGTGGTTGGTCGCCAGGTGTCCATGTCCTGGCCATGGATCTGCCCTTCTCTTCTCAAGAGCTGCATGGAGATGGGACCTAAGGGTCCAGGCCGCCAGGCGCCGTCCACACCTGTGTCTTCGCCTGCCCCTAGAGCCCCCAGACCTTCCCACCTGTTGGGAAACAGTGCTGCACACCGGGGAAACTGAGGCACACACAGGCTTCATAAAATCATTACTAAAAATTCCCAATTTCACAGTCCGTGTGCGCGTCTGTTTGTGCTCTCAGCACTGGGGGTTCCATTGGAGATGGGGGGTGCTCTCTGGGTGTGTGGGGTACCATGGGGGTCGGGCGGTCCTTAGGGATTGGAGGCGCTCTCTGGGAGTGGGGTACCAAGGTGGGTCAGGGGGTTCTGTGAGAGCTCAGGGGGTTGTCTCTGGGTGTGTGGGGTACCATGGAGGGTTGGGGGTTTCGGTGAGGGTTCGGGGGTGTGCTCTCTGGGTGTGTGGTGTAACATGAGGGGTGAGAATTTGGGGGCCAGGGTGGTGTTCCAGGGAGGAGTATTTGGCTCCCTCTGGGCTGGGTTTCACAGGGTGCTGGGGGGGGCGTCTCTGGGGCGGGGGGAGGTGCGGCCCTCTCTGGGCAGGGAGGACTCTCTCTGGGTTGGGTTTCACAGGGCGCCGGGGGGCGTCTCTGGGGCGGGGGGAGCTGCGGCTCTCTCTGGGCAGGGGGGGCGTCCTAGGGGGGGCTCTCCCTGGGCCGGGTTCTGGACGTGCCGCCTGACTCCTGGGTTTGTTCCACCCTTAGTGCGGCAGGACCCGGTGCTGGGAGGCAGCGAGACCTTCAACAGCTTCCTGCGCAAGGCGCAGCAGGTGAGCAGGGGCAGAGGAAGGGGTGCAAGGGGCGGCTGGCTGTGGGAGTGGGGGGTGTCGGCTCCATGGGGTAGGGGCTACGCCCAGCTCCCACCGTCGGTAACGGGGACCTCGCAGTGAGACAGATCCCCTGGACTCTCACTCTTCTTCTGGGGTCAGCCATGCAGTCTCCCTGCCTCCTAGCCCCTGGGCTCCAGCCCACCTGCCTCAACCCTCGGAGGCTCCCGGCACAGAGACCGCGCCGGCCAGGCATTTGGGGTGTCCGCCCCGGCGCGTGGCACAGACAGTCCGTAGGGGAGCACAGAGAAGTGGGGTTCGAGCCGCGCTCAAGTCCATCCCGGTGAGTCCAGCCCCAGCTGTGCGGTCACGAGCCCATGGTTGGGCTGTGTCTCTGTCTGCCTGCCTCGGTCAGAGCCCTCCGGGTCGCCTGCCCTGCCTCCTGCTGAGCCGGGAGTCGCTGGTGCTGGGTCTCTGGGCCCCTTGATCAGCCAGCTCCGGGCTGATTGTTCATTCCACCCAGCAGGGAGGTGACGCCCACCTCGGGTCTCTAACCACACCCCTCCCCCACCCCCATCCTGGGGAGCAATGCAAAGTACTGGGGAAACTGAGGCACACCTAAACATCCTAAAAAGAGGACAGAAAACTCCCCCTTGTCACAGGCGGGGGTGTGGGCAGGGGCTGCGGGGGCAGGGCGCAGAGCCCCCTCACCTTGTCCCCATGCCCCAGGAGACGCAGCAGATCCCCACTGAGGAGGTGCAGCTGGAGGTGCTGCTCTCCAACGGCCAGAAGGTCACGGTCACCATCCTGACCTCAGACCAGACGGAGGACGTCCTGGAGGTAGGTGCGGCGGGGCAGAGGCGCTGGTGGGGGGCACAGGCGCGGGAAGGGCCTAGGGAGCAAGAGCAGGGCCTGTGCTGGGGCAGGGGGCAAGCTCTAGGTCGCTTCCCGGCGTGTCCTCACCCCCGGGCTGGGCTGTCTCTGGGGTCGCTCACCAACATCCCCACACCTCCCCCCCAGGCTGTCTCTGGGGTCTCTGCCATCTGGGGTGCCCAGGGCCCCTGTGCGTGCCCTGGTGCCCAGCCCTGTAGCGGCCTGGCTAGAAGCAGGGTGTGGTGGGGGCTGTGGCCCTGGGCAGGGCTCGGGGCTGCGGGAAGCGGTAACTCTCTGCTTGCTCACCAGGCCGTCGCCTCCAAGCTGGATCTGCCTGAGGACCTAGTTGGCTACTTCAGCCTCTTCCTGGCAAGAGAAGCCAAGGACGGAGCCTTTTCCTGTGAGTGCCTCCCTCCCGGGGGCTGCAGCCCGGGAGCCCTGTGGTGGGCCTTGGGGTGGGGGAGGGGAGGGCAGGGCGCCGGGCGTGGGGCAGGCCCCTGGGAAAGGAGGGCAGGGCGCCGGGCGTGGGGCAGGCCCCTGGGAAAGGAGGGCAGGGCGCCGGGCGTGGGGCAGGCCCCCGGGGCAGGAGGGGGCGGGATGGCGCCGGGCAGGCTGAGCTGCGGGGCTCTGAGTGCTGCTGTCCCTTGTCAGTCATGAGGAAGCTGCAGGAGTTCGAGCTGCCGTACGTGTCTGTCACCAGCCTCCACAACCCCGAGTACAAGATCATCCTGCGCAAGAGGTGAGTGGCTCAGCCGGCCAGGCGGCCTGCGGCCCCCCCCCCCCCAGCCCAGGGCAGGACCTCGCTGGGCCGAGGGAGTGAGGAGCAAGGGCCCCTCTGTTCTGGGGATCCGTGACTCTTCCTGCCCTGTTCTCCGGGGTGCTGCCTGGCCACGCTTTCCCCAGCGCGGGTCACGCCACGCGGAGACTTCACCCAGTGCCGATCGGCAGGGATCTGGCAACGCCCCCACCGCCACGCTCTTCCGAGAGCCGTTTCTCTCGCTGGGCCCTTGTCTCTGAGCCTCCCGCGCTCCCGGCTGGCTGGAGCTGCACTGGGTGCACCTGCTCGGCGTGCTTTGGCTCCCAGGTGTGCTAATGGCCTCCCACAATAAGGTTTGGTCACTTCACTCCCGTTGTCTCTGCCAGCATCTCCACCTGTGCTGGTTCCAGCCAGTTCTCGTGAGAGGAGCCGCTCTCACCCAGGCAGCATCCCTGCTGCTTGGCCATGCCTTGTTCCTTTTTGCACTCAGTGCGCATATAGCAGGGTACCCCGGGTAAACTGAGGCACGCCTGTCCTAAAAGTATTAGCAAAAACTCCGCTGTGCACCATGCCTCGTTCCCTTTTACACTCAGCCCTGGTCTGCATGAGAGAATTGCTTTTGGTCGTGTCGTGAATACCCCGAGTGACAGACTGACGCCATGTAGACAGTGCTGTGTTGGTGTGGAGCTGAGTTGTCTTCACCAGACATGCTGTAAATCTGCAGTGTAGACCTGCCCTCAGTGTGCTTAGTGAGCAGGGTCAACTGAGCCACATGTATAGAGCATAAAATCTTCACCAAAAAGTCCCTTGTCACACCTTGGGCCCAATCAGGCCCCCCGGGCCCTACTCTGCTGTGCAGCATGGAGAAGGAGAGCCTGGCCTAGCTATCTGAAAAGCCCTGGGCCCCACAGATTAGGGCAGGGCCCAAGGGGCTGGAGTGTGTGGCAATGCCCTGCCTGTGCCTCCCCCCTTGAGCAGCACCCTCTCCCAGGTGTGTGGCTAGACCCCCCACTGCACACACACAACACCCCCCGGCTCTTGTTCTCATTGATGCTTGTGATGAAGTGGGAATTTTAAAATATTTTGTATGAAGCCTGTGTGTGCCTCAGTTTCCCCTGTGTGAGGCACAGTTCCCCAGCAGGTGAGAAGGTCTGGGGGCTCTGGGGCAGGTGAAGACACAGGTGTGGATGGCGCCTGGCGGCCTGGGCCCTTAGGTCCCATCTCCATGCAGCTCTTGAGAAGAGAAGGGCAGATCCATGGCCAGGAGTGGACACCTGGCGACCAGCGAGATGAGGATTCCCTGCCCCTCTGCAGGGGGGCTGAGCCCCATCCCCCAGCTTGGGAGCAAAGGCCTGGGGGTGGAGGGGGCTAAGTGTGGGCTGTGGGGAGTAGTTGGGGGCACCCCGGGAGTCTGACAAAGGAGATCGGACAGACGGGGGGACAGAGCTTGAACCCCGGGGGTCACTGCAGCTGGGCTGGGTGCCGGCTGCCCAGAACGGACTCTGCTGGAACGGGCCCAGTCTCAGGAGGCGGTGAGGCCGCATGGCTCACCCTGGGGGAAGTGAGAGACCCCGGGGGGTCCTCCCGGAGCCGTTCCAGAGCCCCGACCCTGTGGGTCTGTGACAATGTTGGTGGCCTGGCGAGAGCATTCAGAGTAGCAGCCGTGTTAGTCTGTATCTGCAAAAAGAACAGGAGGACTTGTGGCACCTTCGAGACTAACCCATTTATTTGAGCATCGGATGCATCCCATGAAGTGAGCTGCAGCTCACGAAAGCTTACGCTCAAATAAATGTCTTAGTCTCTAAGGTGCCACAAGGACTCCTGTTCTTTTTGGGGAGAGCAGTGACTGGGCTGGGGTCACTCCACAGGGCTAGGAGTGGAGCCCTGCTCCCCCGATGCCAGCCCAGTCTGTGGTCTGCTGGGTTCGCCGTGCCCCAGCCCTGCTGCGTGCTGGGGACCCGCTGACACCGTGTGCTCCGTCTCTCTAGTTACTGGGATTCTTCCTATGACGACGACGTCATGGAGCAGCGGGTGGGGCTGAACTTGCTGTATGCGCAGGTGAGTGTCCGCGTGGGCCCAGCCCAGCCTGTCTTGAGCCCCTTGTCTGTGCTGCGGGGCCCGCACAGGCTGCCCCTCATGGCCTCTGCTCCTTTGCAGACGGTGTCAGACATAGAACGTGGCTGGATCCTCGTCACCAAGGAGCAGCACCGGCAGCTCAAGTCCCTGCAGGAGAAGGTCTCCAAGAAGGAGGTGGGTGAGCGGAGCGTGCGGGGGGAAGGGAGCTGGGTTCACGCTGGCCCCAGGGGTCTCAAGTAGGGTCTGAGGGGAGAGGCGGAGCAGGGTCTGTGGCCCCTGGGCCCACTCCTTCGCTTCCTGCTGCGGGAGGAGTCTGTCTGGAGGTTCCCGCACCCACTTGCCGGGAACAGCTGGGCAGAGGTGCCCCAGGCTGGTGGCAGCGAGGGTCCTGAACCCGTGCCCGGCTCTGCCTGCAGTTCATCCGCCTGGCGCAGACCCTGAAGTACTACGGCTATCTCAAGTTCGAGCCCTGCGTCACCGACTTCCCCGAGAAGGGCTGCCAGGTCATCGTCAGCGCCGGCAACAGCGAGCTGAACTTCCAGGTGCGGCTGCCCAGCGAGCAGATCAAAGAGGGCAGCTTCAAGGTGACGCGCATGCGGTGCTGGCGGGTCACGTCCTCGGTGAGTGCCCCTCGCCCGCCGCGGCTCGGGTCGCGCCCTCCCACAGAGCTGGGGGGTATCCGTCGGCCCGTCTGGCTCGCCCACAGTACCAGCCAGGCCCCTTGCCCGCCTGCCCCCCACAGCTCGGGCCACACCCTCCTGTGTGGGATGCTGTGAGGGAGGGATGGGGGTGACTGTGAGGAGGGGGTCTGTGGGGGCGGGGGTCTTTGGGGGAGGGATGGGGGTGCCTGTGATGGGGGGAATCTGTGAGGGAGGGGGTCTGTGTGGGGTGACATCTTTGGGGGAAGGGTGGGGGGTGCCTGTGACTGGGAGGAGGGGTCTTTTGGGGAGGGGTGGGGTCTTTGGGGAAGGGTGTCTTTGGGGGAGTGGTGGGGGGTACCTGTGACTGTGGGGGGGTCTGTGGGAGAGGGGTGGGGCGTGTGACTGTGGGGGAGGGGTCTGTGGGGGTGGGGTCTGTGGGGGTTTCCTGCTATGGCAGAAAGGCTACCTGAGGAGCTGGGCAGCCTCCCTCAGCCCCCCACTCCAGTGGCCCTGGGACTCGGGCTGGGAGGCAAGGGCCTGGCTGGGTCCAGGGGGCTCCGTTTGGTGCCCCACTGGCAGGGGTGGGCAGGGACAGCCCCGGCCTCACCCTCCTCTTCCTCAGGTTCCCACGAGCAGCGGGCCGCCGGGGAGCAGCCCGGGGAAAGCGGAAGTGAAGCTGGAGCTGGCCTTCGAGTACCTGATGAGCAAGGACCGGCTGCAGTGGGTGACCATCACCAGCCCCCAGGTAGGGCCAGCTGCCAGCCTGCCCCGGGCTGGTCCGTGCTGCTCCCAGAGCTCTGTGGCTGGGGGGCTGCAGCCAGGGCTGTGCTCTGGGGGAGATGGGGGGCCTGCTCGGGCTGGCTGTGACGGGCGCTGTCTCCCCCAGGCCATCATGCTGAGCATCTGCCTGCAGTCCATGGTGGATGAGCTGATGGTGAAGAAGTCTGGCGGCAGCATCCGCAAGGTGAGGGGGCAGCTAGGCAGGGGGTGAACTTGTCCCTCTTGCATTGCTGCTGCCCCAGCCCCCCTGGGGGTCCCCCTGTCCCCCCAGGTTCCCCGGCTGGAGCACAGATGGCGAGGGGCTGTCCCCCCGCCTCTGGGGCCTGTGTGGCCACCCAGCTGTCCCCCAGCCCTTGCTGAGCTGCTCTCCTCTGCTTTCCCCCAGATGTTCCGCAGGCGAGCCAATGGGGCCCTGCGGCGCTCGGACAGCCAGCAAGCTGTGAAGTCCCCGCCCCTGCTGGTAAGTGCAGCCCACCGCCCCCACCCTCCCCGCCCTGCATGCCCGCTCTGACCCCTGTCCCTCTCTGCAGGACTCGCCCGATGCCAGCAGGGAGCCCATGCTCAAACTCTCGGTGAGTAACTCGCCACCTCGTGTGGGGGGTGGCGCGGGCGGGTGGGCGCCTGGTCTAACCCGCCCTCCCTCCCTGCAGAGCAAGCTCACCTCCGTCAGCCTGCGGGGCGTCAGCCACTCCGGCTCCACCAGCGACCTGGGCACGGACGACTTCCACGGCAACTACGCCTTCGAGGGGATTGGCGACGAGGACCTGTAGCCCGCTCCGGCCACGCACGGCCACTGCGGCTCTGGGGAACGACCCGTGTGCCTCGGCTGGGTCCCCATCTGCCTGCCCTGCCCCGCTTCAGCCCCCTCCACCTGCCATTGCCTTGGGGGGAGCCACCTCCCAGCCGCTGCTGCCACCTTCCTGAGGGCAGCCCCTGCCCAGACTCAGCCCACGGAGCCCATTTCACGGGGGGACTAACGCTCACCTGCACGTGGCGAGAGCAAGGGTTGCACACAGCCCCCATCAGGATGTGGGCCGGTCCAGTGCCACGAGGCAGCTGCCCCACCCCTGCAGGAGGGCTCAGCGGCCTGGGGCCAGGACTGGCCCGTAGCCTGCACTTCGAGCCAGTCTGAGGGCTGGCTGCCATGGGGGGCAGGGGGAGGTGGAGGCAGAGGCCTGGGGCTGTTCCCATGGCAACAGACACCTCCCGGCCTTCATAAATGCCAAATTAGCAGCTAGGTCTTTGCACGAAGACGAACGGGCGAAGTTTAGCTGCGGCTGGTGCTGTGCCTGGACGCCAGCACAATCGCCAGGCTCGTAACCTGCCGCGCTCGGCTGTTCGCGGGGGACTGGAGCATTAATGGACATTAACCAGTATTTACACACTGCAGCGATTAAAGCGGATCATGATTGGTACCCGGTGTATGGCTGTGGAGTGCGGGGGTGGCTCCGTTGATGCTGGCCTTGCCCGGGCTGGGGGGCTGGGAGGTGTGTGTGTGTGGGGGAAGCAGCCCAGAGAGGCCGTAAGTCCAGCTGGGCCCCTGGCACCTCCCTCTTTGGCTGTCCCAGGGGAGGCTGAGCACCCCCCCTGGAGGTCCAGGCCCTGGAGGGCTCTTAACCCAAGTCAGGCCTGAGAGCCAGCAGGAGCAGGGTCCACAGGCCAGTGCTCCCCTGCCCTGCCCTGCGTGCTGAGAGGGCCAGGCACCCAGCAGGCCCAGAGAAGCTTGAGGCCATGTGCCATCAGCCCTTACAGGGCGTGGCACTCCGGCAGGATGGGTGCTGCCGCGTCTCCTTTGCTGGAGCAGGGGGCTCAGTATTGCTCACAACCCCCTGGCCGTGGCCAAGCCCCCCAAAGAGTGAGGCCAGCTACCCAAACTGACTTTAATGCTGTTATACACAATATAAATTACACAGCCTTGAGACGCACCCTGGGTCAGTGGGCCCGGCCAGCCTCCCCCCGCCCTCCCTCCCTGCTATACCCAAGGATGCTGGAGGGAAGGGGCCACGCTTGGTGGTCACAGACAGGCTGCCTTGCGGGCTGGTGGCAGCAGCTACGCTGTGCCCCGAGTGCTCGGCCTCCTGGCCCCTGAGCCCCCATTGCCAAGGCGGGGCTGGCCCAGGCCGAAGGGCTCCGAGGAACAGCTCTGTGTGTGTGTGTGTGTGTGTGGGGGTGTCTATTCCCTCCCTCAGATAGCAGCTACACACCACTCCCTGCCTTCATGGGGCGCTGCTGGGCCTGCGTCCCACGTGACAGCCCTTCCTGACGCCGGGGAGCTCAGACTAGGCGAGGCTGCTGGGCAGCTGTCATCCTGGCACTGCAGGAAGCAGAGGTGCAGCTGGCCCCAGCCCAGGTTACCGGGCGGCAATGGGTCTGAATTCCTGCTTCCCACCCGAGGCCAGGCCCAGCCGGCATGGGGCGGGGGGAATCTGCAGCACTGCTGGGCCCTGCCCCCCTGGCCCGCCAACCCCCACCCAGCACTCCAGCCCCCTACGGCCAGGCCCTTGCCCCTCGCCATGCTCCCTAGGAAGGGACAGGCCCAGCAAGGCCGTGCCACCAGGCTGTTGGGCTGGCAGGGGCCACCCCACCCCACGGAGCAGCCCGTCGGCCCTGGGCCAGGCCTAGGGCAGGGGGGCAGCGGGGGGCGGCAGGGCCGGCCGGGGCTTGGCGGCCGGGGGGCCGGCCCAGCCAGCGGCCGCGGGGCCGTGGACCTTCTGGTGGCGCTTGTAGTTGTCCCAGTGGCCGGTGGTGTAGGGGCAGAGCCGGCAGCGGAAGGGCTTCTCGCCCGTGTGGCGCAGCATGTGACGCTTGAGGTTCATGCTCTGGTTGCAGCGGTAGCTGCAGAGGCCGCAGCGGAAGGGCTTGTCGCCCGAGTGGGTGCGGCCGTGCCGCTTGAGGTTGGCCAGGTTGCCGCAGGCGTAGGCACAGAGCTGGCATTTGTAGGGCCGCTCGCCCGTATGCACCCGCTGGTGCCGCTTGAGGTTGTCCAGGTGGGCGGAGGCATAGGGGCAGAGGGGGCAGGGGAAGGGCTTCTCGCCGCTGTGCGTCTTCATGTGGCGGGCCAGGTGGTTGGGGTAGCGGGTGGCGAAGGGACACAGGCTGCAGGAGAAGCCCTTGGGGCCGCTCGCGGGCGGGCTGCCGCTCAGCACGGCCAGGCTGCAGCGGCTGCAGACCTGCTCGACCAGGCTCTCGTCCGGCGCCAAGCCGTCGGCCAGCACCAGCCCGCACGTGCGGCAGGTGAAGGGGAAGAGCAGCTCCGGCAGGGCGTCCGCCTCGTCGGCTCGCAGGCGGGCGCAGCCCGGCGGGAGGGGGGCTGCCCGCACTGCTCGGGCGCAGGCTCGGCTCCGGCAGCAGCGGCTCTGCAGGACAGGCAGAGGGCAGCTGTGAGACTGGGGGGGCGGGGACCTCCCCCCCCCCCGTGTCCAGCCCCCTGCTCCCTTCCCCATGCCCTGCGCCTCCCCGCCCGGTCCCCCACAGAACAAATCAAGGGGGGAAGGGCAGCCCCCGGTTCCAATGCTCCCCCCTCAACGCTCCCTGCTCCCCCGGCTGCTGGCCACGGAAATCTCGAACGGCGCTCTGGGGACGAAGGCATTGCACAGTCTCCTCCCCAGGGCGCGTGCCAGGTGGGGTAGGAGTGGGCCCAGGAGGGGAAATGCCCCAGCTGCTTGACGGAGCCCTTGGGGCTCAGCGTGTGGGGAGTGGGCTGGGCTCCCAGGCCAGGTCAGCGGAGCTGGGCCTGAGACTTGGCCAGAGACAACTCCGCTCCCCCCAGATCCCACAGAGCCTCACTGGAAGCTCGTGGCCACACCAGGTCCCGGAGGGGCTGGAGTCGGGCTTCTCTGCGGGGCCCTGCAGCCCCACCCTGGAGCTGCCTGCGCCGGCCCCCCTACCTTGGGCCTTGTCCTGGCAGCCGGGCGCCTCCTCGGCCGGGCGATGGCGCAGCATGTGCCGCGTGAGGCTGCGGCTCTGGGTGCAGCGGTACTCGCAGGCGCTGCACTGGAAGGGCTGATCCTGGCTGTGGGTACGCTCGTGGCGCCGCAGGTTGCCCAGGCTGCTGCAGGCGAAGCCGCAGGCCTGGCAGCGGTAGGGCCTCTCGCCCGTGTGCGTGCGCTTGTGCCGGGTCAGGTTCACCAGCTGGGCCGAGGCATAGTCACAGTGCGGGCACTGGAAAGGCTTCTCGCCGTTGTGGGTCTTCAGGTGGCGCTTGAGGTGGCTGGAGTAGTGGGAGGCGAAGGGGCAGAGCTGGCAGGAGTAGACCACACGCTGGCCCTCCTCCCCCGCACACCGAGGGCAGCTCTGCCCCAAGCGCACGGCCAGCTGCAGGCCACACCGGGGGCAAGGCGAGGCTGGGGGGCCAGGCTCCCGCCCCTCCTCGGGGTCACTCTCCACGCTCAGCTGCCGGTAGCTGGAGGAGTAGTCGTCGTCGCTCAGCGAGTAGGCCGGGATGGTGATCTTCCCCACCAGGGAGTCCACTGCAAATGCCGCAGGGAGAGGGGAGCAGTCAGCCCAGAGGCCCCGCAGGCCTGAACAGACACCCCCAGCAGCCACCCACAAGCCCCTCCCCTCTGGGCTGGACATAAGAACGGCCAGGCCGGGTCAGCCCCGTGGGCCAGCTAGCCCAGAGTCCTGTCTTCCGCCAGCGGCCGGTGCCCCAGAGGGAATGAATAGAACAGCCATTTTCACGTGAGCCAGACCCTGTCATCACTCCCAGCATTTGGCAGCCAGAGGCTAGGGGACACCCAGAGTGTGGGGTTGTGTCCTGACCACATTGGCTAATAGCCATTGATGGACCTGTCCTCCAGGAACTTATCTCGTTCTTTTTGACCCATTATAGTCTTGGCCGTCACAATATCCCCAGGTTGGCTGCGCTGTGTGGAGAAACACTTCCTCCTGTTCGTTTTAAACCTGGTGACTATTCATTTTATTGGTGGCCCCTGGTTCTTGTGTTACGAGAAGGCAAAAATAACACATCCGTATTTACTTTCTCCACACCTGTCATGCTTTTATAGACCTCTCTCAGATCCCCCCTTAGTCTCCTCTTTTCCAAGCTGAAAAGTCCCAGTCTTGTTAATCTCTCCTCATGCAGCAGCCGTTCCAGACCCCTCATCATTTTTGTTGCTCTTTTCTGTACCTTTTCCCATTCCAATATCTCTCTTTTGGGATGCGGCGACCACATCTGCACACAGCACTCAAGCAGTGGGCGTACCAGGGATTTATATAGAGGCAACGTGATATTTTCTTACTATCCAGCCCTCTCCTAATGGTTCCTGTGTTCTCTTCGCCGTTTTGACTGCTGCTGCACATTGAGGGGATGTTTTCAGAGAACTATCCACAGTGACTCCAAGATCTCTTTCTTGAGTGGTAACAGCTAATTTAGACCCCATCACTGTATATGAAGAGTGGGGATTATGTTTTCCAATGTGCATTACTTTGCATTGAGCGACATTGAATTTCACCTGCCATTTCGCTGCCTAGTCACCCAGTTTTGTGAGACCCCTTCGTAGCTCTTCGCAGTCTGCCTGGGACTTTGCCACCTCAGTGTTTACACCTTTTCCCCCCACATCCTTTATGAATGTGTTGACTGGCTCTGGCCCCACTGCAGGAGCCCCCCCCACAACCAGGAATAGCTCTTCATGAGCCCCTCCTCTTGGGGCGGGGCAGGGCCCACCCACCAGGCCATGGAGGCATTTGCACATGACAGCCCAGCAGACACCAGTTCCCAACAGCTGGGCCTGCCTCTGTGCAACCGCACTGGTTCCCTCTACACGTGCTGGCCAGGCCCTCTAAGAGGCCATTATACCAGCATGAGAGCTGGCAAGGGGGCTGGCTGTACCTGCACTGATCGCCCACCAAGCAGGGTCACCCCATGGCAAGGGCATGGCCAAAGCCAGGCAGCTGAGCTGAGA